CGCAGAGCAGGGAGCCCGATGTGGGACTCGATCCCAGGACCCTGGGATCATGACCTGAGCCGAAGGCAGACGCTTAATGACTGAGCCACCCAGGCGCCCAATACTGTCATTTTTAATGTCTCTCGTTTAGTACTTAATAGCATCAAAAATTCATAAAAGCTAAGAATTACAAGGGACCCTAAAGTTGTAGTGTAATCACGTTTTCCAAAGAGCAAATACTTTCTAAGACTCGTTCAGCGTATCAAAAGAGTGATCATAGGTTGGATCAAAGCGCAACACATTTTACAGTGAAGCTTACATAACAGGAAGTCATGGCCAAAGCAACAATTTTGTCAGAAACAAGCAGAATACTTGAGCAAATGGATCTGAATCTGGGACAGACCTGTAGGAGCTGGTGAGCTCGTAATCTAAAACCGCGTTTGCTGTGATCACACCACTCCGCGCATCAATGTGGAATGTTTCCCCTTGGTTGCCAGAGAGAATGGAGTACTCAGTGAGGCCATTCATCCCACTGTCGAGGTCCGCAGCAAAAACCTGTGAGGAAGCAGCTCTTCCGTTAGATAAGGATTTCATCTGCAAGATGGGTTAAGACTGTTTTTCAGACAAATGCACGATGAAAGAATTACGGATTGCCAAATGCACTTTAAAAACAATGATCAAAGGACTTATATTTATAATATAGTAGGTAATGGGTGGGCAAAGTGTTCTGCAGGCTTGTTCAAAGGACTTCCAAATAACTTTCAGTAGGCGTAGCCCATGTTTTGAACTACAATTTTAGGCAAGAGGTGAAAATACAGGGATACCTCAGAGATATTGTGGGTTCAGTTCCAGACCACCCAAATCAAACAAATATTGTAATAGAGCAAGTCAAATGAATTTTTTTTTGTTTCCTGGTGCATATATTATAGTTTATTAAGTGTGCAACAGCATAACATTATATCTAAAAAAAACAATGTACATACCTTAATTTAAAAATGCTTGATTGCTAAAAATTGCTAACCATCATCTGACTTTCAGCGAGTCATGATTTTTTTGCTGGTGGAGGGTCTTGCCTTGATGTTGATGGCTCCTGACTGACCAGGGTGGTGGCTGATGAAGGCTGGGGTGGCTGTGGCAATTTTTTAAAATAAGACAACAATGAAATTGGCCACATTGATTGACTGTTCCTTTCATGAATGATTTCTCTGTAGCTTGTGATGCTGTTTGGTATCATTTTACCCACAGCAGAACTTCTTTCAAAATTGAAGCCAGTCCTCTCGCACCCTGCTGCTGCTTTATCAACTAAGTTTATGGAATATTCTAAATCCTTTGCTGTCATTTCAACAATTTCACAGCATCTTCACCAGGTATAGATTCCATCTCAAGAAACCACTGATCACCATCACCATAATAAATATAGTAATAATGAAAATGTGTGACTACTGCAGGAATTACCGAACTGTGACACAGATACAAGGTGAGCAAATGCAGTTGGAAAAATGGTGCCCACAGACTTTCTTGATGCACGCTTGCCACAGAGCTTCAGATTGTAAAACAAAAACAACAACAACAACAAAAAAAATCTCTGTAAAGTGCAATAAAGTAAAGTAAAATAAAATGAGGCACTGAACTTGAAAAAAATTCTAATTTGCTTGAATAGAAGATCCAACTATATTTAGGTTCGTACCAGTACCAGAGAAGGAAAGAAATCTCTGAATAGTAAATGGTAGTCTTTAATTTGTTGTATTTCCTGCTTAAAGTATTGCCTGTAAAATTGGCCATATGTGGATTTTTTTATATATCTTATTGAAAGTCTCATTTTAGAAGGATTTTTAATTAATGAAATAGCCTAGATTTAGTGTGTTATAACAAATTAGATCCTGATCATTTATTTCGTAAATTATCAAAGTAGTGTTGAGGATGAGACAAAAGTCTTGCATAATTCTCCATGGAGATGTATTATTTAGTCTATATTACATTTTAATAAAAAATTAATTCTATTAGTGGTTTCAAGATCTTGCTTAAGAATAAGTTGATGGATTAATTAAAATTTTTTCTTCCTTTTTTAAAAATTTTATTTTATTATGTTATGTTAGTCACCATAAAATACATCATTAGTTTTTGATGTGGTGATCCACGATTCATTGTTTTTGTATTTTTTTCTACTTATTTTTATCCTCTGTGCCCCTCAGCCTTGGCCTGACCTCACGTTCCCATCATCTCTCTCCTGGGTGACCGCACTGATGTCCTGACGGGTGTTGGCCTCGAACTCCCTCTGCTCTCATCTATCCTTCACACTGTCATCAGATCTCAGGGGATCCTGAGTCGCCCAAGTGGGACATTGAGGACCTCATCAGGAGGGCACACAAGCCAGCTACTTAGTAAAGAAAGGTAGCAATGCACAGTTCCTTGGAGGTCATCAGGAAAAGAAACTCATGTGCATCTGGGCAGAATAAAACCCTTCATATCCTCCGGGTCCATATGCTTCCAAGTGTTACCAAGAGTAGGTCTCCCAGGAGGTGTGTCTGTTAGGGTTTTAGGATGCCAGCAGCACATATCCACTATGGAAAACTTAACCTGGAAAAATGTATCAGAAAGATAGTGTCTGGGTGAAGGTCAAGGACATGGGACCCCCAGGGGCACAGTTTCTTTTGAGTTGTTGCCACCAAGATGAATCAGCTCTAATGTGCCTCTGTGCTGGTGTCTTACCACTCAAGTTTCAGATCCGAGGGAGAGAAAGCCTACATGAGACTGAAGCAGATGACAACGCCTTGGGCAGGGGATGGAGGACACGTCACTACCTTGACTGACAGTCTCAGCAAGACTGCAGCTGACAGAGGATGGGCAGTTCCTAAAAGAAGTTGGTGGGGCTGTAACCAAAAGCAGGGACCATGGGTAGTGTGATGGCAAAAGCAAGAATTACCACGAGCGCTAGACCTCCAGAGCCTTCGACATTCCTGTTTATCTGAACAGGACACAGCAAAATGGCAGTTCTGGTTCCCTGGAACAAATGAAATGATCTAAAAATGTGAAGAATGCAGGTCCTTGTATCTGTCCCTGACTCAGCCCTCTTGAAGTTTGACCTAATTTGACACACTGGTGGGCCAGGCTCCTTCCCATTTGTTGGACCTGGGCTTTAAAGGTATCGTCCCTTCTTGTGTTCCACATGGAGCAGTCTAGCTCTATCCAGGTGAGCATGAACGATGAAGGGGTGCAATGCAGTAGCACCCCAGTGCAGGGCAGGCCCCACAGTGGCTCTGAAGGTCTCTGTCATCCCCCCTGAACATGTATCACTGCACAGAGTGATACAGATGGGGCAAGTGAATGCCCTCCCCTTCGTCTCAGTCGTGGCTGAAAGCAAAGCATTTCTGGAACAGGCTGGCAAATGGAACAGGGCACTTTTATATAACACAAGTCTGCAAAAACAGTGGAGGAAATCCTAGGTATCCTGAACTGTGTGGGACGCACAGAGCCAAGACTCCAAGATGGCCAAGACTCCACTGGTCTTGTCAGCACCAACAGAGGGGTACCTGTACATCTGGAGCCGAACTGAAGGTCAAAGGAAGGTGTCTCTCCAGACGCAGGTGGAGGTAGCCATACAGTAGAGCATTGTGGGAGGTCTCATCCAGAAGGTGTTCTAACGTGTCCTCAGGCTCCCTGACCCCCTCGACCCAGAGAGGAAGGGGGGTAATCATCACTACGGGCTGGATCACAGTAGCAGGATTAGAGAGGCCAGAGGGAAAGCCTTGACTTTGCCAGGAAGGGGTTTTTATACGGATTTCTTGTGCAGATTCCCAAGAGGTTGTACATTTCCCAATGTCCAGGTTCTTGAAGACAGAAGAGCAATTCAACTGTGAAGGGAAAGATGGAACTGGGTCCGATTCCTGAAGCAGGCAGAGAGGCTATCAAGGGTGAGTGGGTCTTAGAGCCTGCACGAGACTGCCTTAAAAACAGATCCTCTTTTTCATGGCGTAGGCCTCCTTGCTGAGATGGGGTGAGGCCCGGGAACAGTGGATCTGGGACTTTCACATGAAATGTCTGCAAATTTCGCACCCAGGGAGCTCTTCCATGGGTCTGTGCCTTCATCCATGCTCATCCAGCTGTGCTTCCCCCGGCCGAGTGCCTGCTCACCCTTGAAGACCAAGCGCAAATACCATTCATCTGCGAAGTCTTATCCTTTTCTTCCCGGAAGAGTCTGTCTCTCCTCTTTTCTCTCATGACATTAAATGGGCACTTCTATTTAACATGACTAACATGCATTTAAATTTTATGCTTACTTTTCTGACTTCCCCTCTAAGTTGTACACATGATAAGCTGAGCTGAGTTTTGTGCCCCTGTGGATTCGCTGCTAGTGTCGGGCAGAGGCCCTAGAGAAAGCAGGCGGGCACTAGGAGCACGCGATGAAGAGAGGAAGAAGCGTGAACTCAGAAACTCCAGACTTCCTTCGAACTAAGGTTTCATCCAGTTCATCAAACTTTTTACATGCCCTAGACACATTTATGTCCTAGAAAAAGGCTCTAGATATTTTGATGCAGACTGATGATAATTTCCATACACACACATACACATACACAAAACACATTTCTGTTACCTGTATGATGTGAGCATTGTGGGACAGGCCTTCAGACACTGACACTTGGTAAACGCTTTGCTCAAAGCATGGTAAGTTATCATTCACATCTTGTATCAAGACTGTTACTTTGCTGTAGGCTCTGTGCCCCCTACTTTCCGCTAAAATGATGAGTCGTACTTCATGTCTGACTTCAAAATCGAGAAACTTGGGTTCTTTCACAGTGAGTTCTCCTATTTTGATTCCGAGGGAGAAAAAAAATAAAAGAAAATGATGCTGTACTCATTGTTTAAAAAGCTCCAAATCACCTTTCACTCCTATGCTCAAACTCTCACCTGTCCCTCCAAATCTCCCGATGGCTGGCCGCCCTTCCCACCTGACTGGGCTGATTGTGAAAAAAGTTGAGAAATGTGGGGTTATTTGCAAGGTTCCAACACATAGGAGGGAGAGAAACTATGAAATAGGCGAAATGTGGGAGCTGTCTCTGAAATGACCCTTCCCTCTCCATATTTAGTCCATCTCCATGTCTGCAAAGTCTATCTTTCAAACATCTCTTGAATCTGCCCTCCATCGTCACTGCTACTGCCCTTCTCTGAGCCACTGGCATTTCCCACCTTCTCCCCTGCCTGAAGGGCCCCATGGCATCACTCGTCTGGTCTCCCTTCTAATCCAGTTCCCATTCTGAACTGAATCATAAAAATGGACACTGTCATTGTGCCACAGAAACCCTTTCCATGGCTTTCCATGGTGATTATGACAAAATGCAGCATTTTTTAACTTCCATAGGACGGACGTGCTTGGGCTCTCCCACCTCAAGAGTCTCACTCCTGCCATTCCCCACGTTGCTCTCTCTGCTGTGCACAGAACACTCATAAATATTCTTTTACTCAGGGGCATCTGGGTGGCTCAGTTGTTTAAGTGACTGCCTTTGGCTCAGGTCATGATCCCAGAGTCCTGGGATCGAGTCCCACATCGGGCTCCCAGGTCAGCGGGGAGCCTGCTTCTTCCTCTGACCCTTTCCCCTCTCATGCTGTTTCTCTCTCTCTCTCTCTCTCACTCTCTCAATCTCTAATAAATAAATAAATAAATCTTTAAAAAAAATTAAATGTTTTCTTCCTCAAATGCTTGTTACAGAGTCAACATGCATGCTTTTCCATCTGCCTGGCATGGTCCCTACTTCTGCACTTCCTCAGGGATCTTTCCAGACCAGCCAGCCCCATACTGTCACTATGGTCAGCCTGCAACAGACTCTCATGGAGCACCTGCATGTACTGTGCTCATCTGTTTCAGACTGGTGCTTCTTCTTGGTTTAGAAGCGTACAAGGCGAGGATGGGTCCCTATCTCTTATACCAACTGTCATATTCCTAGTGCCTAGCTCAGGGTCTGGCCTACGGATGGCATCCATTAATATATGTTATACCCTCATATACAAAGTATAAACAGGTTAGGGAAACTGACTCCTGGGCTTTGTGCCTTGCACGAGTTTCTCCTCCAAATTAAGAAAATTCATCCCCTGATTTGATTTCCTTCTCAACTTTCTGTTCTGTTTTTGTTCTCCCTTTTGCTGACAAATGTTGTACTGAATTTACTATTATTATTTTGTTATTTACTTAGCTCTCACTGTCAGAAATTCCATCGAATAGAGATTCATTGAATGAACACTGATTGGGAGGTTGAGACACCTGAAACCAAGTATAAATCCTAGCCCTGGCTACTTAGTTTAGGTAAGTAACCTCCACTATGTCTGTGACCCAGGGTAAGTCATTCAGGTTCTATGGAGCTGAGCCTCCTCTCCTGTAAAATGGGGGTATTAACAATGACTTTGTAGGGTTGCAGGAGAAGTGATACAGTGCATACTTAGAATGTTCCTGTGCAGGATCATGATATATATTCCAGTGTCCTACCCATGTTCCTCACCCTTTCCATCATCAGGTATAGATTTAATATCTGCAAAAGCTCTGAATTTAGAAAGAAAACACTTAACAACCATGGACTAATCAAAGTCTGTTCTTCAGATGAAAGAACCTGAACTGTTTCTGGAAATATGGCCTGGAAGCCACAGTTCTACTGTTCTATCTGAACCAGTCCCCTCAGACAACCATCCTAGTCCAAGAAAATGTCAGGCTCTTGCCTACTTACCTGGATGCTAATGGGAATCATGCCCTGTTCTAGTGTTCTAACTTCAGTACTGAGTGTTTTTGGGAGATTTTTATAGCTTCTCTTCTGTTATTAAGAACAGCTAAATATATTCTATACTCACTATACTACAACAGCTAAATATATTCTATACTCACTATACTACAAAATGTAAAATTTCCATAAACCACTTTCGCTTATTGTCATCAGTTATCAACTCAGAAAACCAGATTACTTTTATGGGCCACAGTCTGATGTGACTGACACCCCTGGCAGAAAATTTAGGGTAGATACGACCATTGGTAGCTGGAAAAATCATTAAGATGCATTTTGATGAGCTGGCAATGAAACAAGCTGGTCTTCAGAAACCTCTGTGAAACAAGAGCTAAACCAGCACCCCCAAACAGCAGAGGAGCCCCAGTCTGAGGTAGGTCCAAGCTCTCATCCAGCATTCCGTCTCCGCTGAACAGAGCATTCCGCTTGCTATCATGTTCTGTTACTATTAGCCAAAGAAAAATAACATAGAAACGCAACACTAAATTGCCAGTGTCACTTAGTAGAAAGTGTGCCAATTATAGCCCAGATCAAAGTGGACTTTTTAATAAAAGGCTTGTGTTTAGGCTTTGATAATTGGAATTTTGCACTTGGAATGGCTCTGCAGTTCTAATGCTTTCCTTGCTTGGCTTTTATTTTTGGCATAATAATTGGCATATGCTGAGAAAGTTGTGTAAGTAGGAAAGACAATATCCCGTCTGTGAGATGACTCAAGGCTGGCACACCTACCAGACCCACATTTGCCTGGGACGATATACGCATATTTTTCTCAGAGATATCAAGGATTTACTGTCACTGGTGAGATGCAAGAACTACTGGGCTTTCAGTCTGGGCAGAAGTCCATGTTTTTCCTTCCAGTACAAGCCTCATGGTCACCGACTTCATGTTAGTTCTTATGCATAAGCGCACCAGTTCTAGAATAATTTGAGAATGAAATTGCAGTACTATTCCCTTTCTCATATGTGTACACATGTAGCTTTTGCCCAAGTTATAAAATACACATCGAAATGAGGTTAAGATTCTTCAAATGCTAACTGCTTGATAGCGTAATCAGGGAATGTCAATCCAATACAAACTGTGCACATGCATATGAACATACCCAAAGCAGACTGTGATAAATATTTATGTTATCCAAAAGTTCTGAAACGATCTTCTGCTAAAACCACATCCTTGACACATGGCAAGTTTGATCATTTTTGTTTTATGTCAACCTACCAAATCATGGGATGGGATGGGAATAACCAAACCATTTGTTATTTACATACACGATGTGAGTAAAACTCCAACATTCTTGCTGGTGTAGACAGTGAGCAGTAGAGCAAACACTGGCACAAAATGGACAGAAAATGTGGTTCTCATCCGAGATCCTTCTTATCAGAACTTATTAAGTCAGTAACTAACAAAATGGCTTTCTCACATTTTTACCCTTAAGAAGAGTAACCATAACCTTAGTGATCTTGACGGATTTATCACACACGCCAGTTTTCTATCTTAACTGGCATATGGCTTAAAATACATATGCTCATAAAACCTATGTTGGGTAGCTTTACACATAAGCTTGAAGATTATGCGCCAAAGGTGACGTGAAAGATGAATTGAATATCATAATTAAAAGTTTTTAAAAAGGCTTCTTGACAGCGGTATGGAAAACTTCATAACAAAAACAACTAAAATGCGTGATAAATTGTGTGTGTGTTGAAATGCATGATTGAGTTGGTATACTAGTAAGGAATCCTCAGAGGACAAAAAAACCCCTGAAAACAGTAATCCAGGAAGGTAAGTGAGCGCTAAAAGCCCATTTTTGTTCCAAGGGTCTCTAACACAACCTTCTTCCTTGAAATCCATCTCTGATAGCTGCACAGAGTATGAGAAACAAGGGAAGAAGCCTGAACCCACAAAAGGTGAAGAGTCTAATGGGAAAACCAGAATAAAGCTATAAACCCAGAGGCTACATATGCTCCAACTGAGTGATCAATATTTAAAAAACAAAAACAAGTTCAAAATGGATGTACAGAAACCTGCTTTTCTTGACCTTGGTGTTGGTTGGAAGGGGAAAAAAAGGTCTCTGCTGTGAATTTATTAACTTAAGCCTGAATTTATGCTGGCCATACTATCACAGCTATATGTTTTTAAAACCCTCAATAATTACATTTAAGCTAGTCTTTGCTTGATGATGTACCCAGGTGAGCTGCTGAAGGAAAACAAGTCCTCTCTAAAGGGCACAAATTCAACCCAGTCTTCAAAGAACCCTCAGAGAAAAAGTTTTAAGGACAATGAACACTCATAGTTAACAAGCATGAAAATCACAGAGAAACAAGGCACCATGAATGAGAACTGGCTAATCTATGGAAAATGGAATAAATCTTCAAAGACTTAAAATGCTGGATTATTGGACACAGGATGTGTAATTATTGCATATGTTTAAATGTATAAAAAAGAAGTTTAGAAACATGAGCAAGGAAGAAGAGATTACTTTTTTACAGGCATCTAGTTATGGAATGAATAAATCATGGGGTTAAAAGGTACAACATAGGGAATATAGTCAATGATGCTATAATAACGTTGTATGGTGGCAGATGGTAGCTAGCTACACTTGTGGTGAGAGTAGAATAACATATAAACTTGTTGAATCACTATGTTTACCCCTGAAACTAATGTAACATTGTGTGTCAACTATACCTCAATTTTTAAAAAAAGATTATTTTTTTGTGAGACCAGGAATTGTATACAAGGAACCCAAGAGAACTTCTGGAAATAAAGATTGAAGAGAAAGGGACAAGGAGATGAAAAATGTGCAAAAGAGATGTAGGAGAGAGTGTCTGGCTCAATACTTGTCTAACTAGAGTTCCAAAAAAGATACAAATAAACAGTATTTAGATCAATAGCTAAGTTCTTAATGCAACAACTGGAAACCAGAAAGCGGTGGATAATATCTTAAATGTGATGAGAGAAAATAACCGTGAACTTAGAATTCTAAGACCAGCAAACATATTTTTTAAAAACAAGAATTAAACAAAGTCATTTTTAGACAACCAAACCTGAACAAGTTTACTACAACAGACCCTCACTACAGGATGTACTTCAGGTAGAAAGAAAATGACACCAGAGGCGAGTTTGAGATGTAAGAAAGAACAGTTAGCAAAGAAGCACAGAAATCTATTTAAAAATATTAATAATGTGGTGAGCGATGTGAATTGTGTGAGACTATTGAATCACAGACCTGTACCTCTGAAACAAATAATACATTATATGTTAAAAAAAAAAAAGGAAGAAGAAGATAGTAGGAAGGGGAAAATGAAGGCGGGGGGTAATCGGAGCGGGAGACGAACCATGAGAGACTATGGACTCTGAGAAACAAAATGAGGGTTCTAGAGGGGAGGGGTGTGGGGGGATGGGTTATCCTGGTGATGGGTATTAAAGAGGGCATGGAGCACTGGGTGTTATACGCAAACAATGAATCATGGAACATTACATCAAAAACTAATGATATAATGTATGGTGATTAACATAACATAATAAAAAAAAACAGAGAGGGGCTCCTGGGTGGCTCAGTCGTTAAGCGTCTGCCTTTGGCTCAGGTCATGATCCCAGGGTCCTGGGATAGAGCCCCACATCGGGCTCCCTGCGTGGTGGAAAGCCTGCTTCTCCCTCTCCCACTCGCCCTGCTTGTGTTCCCTCTCTCGCTGTGTCTCTCTGTCAAATAAATAAAATCTTAAAAAAAAAAAAAAAAAGAGAAAAAAATATTAATAATGTCTAATTGGAAAGAACTATAATTGTGGCCCACAGGAGCTTATAAGTTGAAAAAGGGATATCTGGAGATAAAGAATTCTAAGTCTCTTGTATTATTCAGGAGCAGGACATTGATTAATGTTAGACTTCAAGTATATATGTTAAAATAGCTAGGCTAACCACTAAAAGAAGATAAATAGCTATATAATTCCAGCAAACACAGGGAAGATGGTTCATCTTTAGGTAATGATCATATATGTTAAATGCTCAGAAAAATATTAGAATCAGTAGTTTACAGGTTTTCTAGATACAAAATCAAAATATAAATGCTAATTTCAAGTATACCTAATAGCATTGTCATAAAAAGCATTTTTTTCACTTACTTTAGCAAGAAAAAGTATAAAGGATTTAGACTACATCTAACAAAAACCATGCAAGCCTGCTATAAAAAAATTAAAACTTTATTAAAATATATTTAAGGAAACAATGTATGTGATTTTTCTATATTATCCTGAATTAGAAGACAATACTGTAAAGATACAGGCTTTCCCCAAAATGATATTTAGAATTAATACAATTCCAACAAAAAATTCAAGTAACTAAATGAATGGATGAATGGACAAAGTATAGCGTATTCACACAATGGCATATTATTCAGTCTCAACAAAGAGAATCCCGCCATGCGTGACAACATGGATGAACCCCTAGAACGCTAAGTTGAGTGGAACAAGCCAGTCACAGAAACATAAATATGGCATGATTCCACTCATATGATGTATCTAAAATAGTCAGACTCCTAGAGGCAGGAAATAGAATGGTGGTTGCCAGGTGCCATGGGGGAGGGGCGATGGTGATGGGGAAGTGCTGTTCAGTGGGTATGAAGTTTCAGTTATGCAAGATGCATAAGTTCTAGAAACCTGCTGGACAACACTATGTCTAGAGTTAGCAGTACTGTATTGTACACACTTATAATTTTGCTAAAAGAGTAGATCTCATGTTAAATGTTCTTACCACAGTTAAAATAAAAGAAAAGAAGAGCTTTGGTAGATGATTATTAGTTACAATGCACCGCTATACAGAGCTTTGTGAGGAGGATACTTTGGCCTGATGAGTTAGTTACTTAAATTCTAGATTGAGGCCATGCAATTGTTTTGGACATTTTCTTTGTTAATTCAAGTGAGGTTTCACCTGAAATCAAATGTGCATGTCATGATTACCTGGGTTTCATGTATGAAAAGTGTGGATAGCTCTTACATCACCCAAAGCCTTATGAATAAATCTCCTTTCCTCGGGAAAAAAATCCCAATAGGCCTGTGTGTGTGTGTGTGTGAAAATCTGGCAAGTGGATACAATGATTCATATTAGTGCAAAGGGCCAATAACAGCTAATATACTCATGAAGAACATGAAAATGGGGCTGCTTCCTTGGTATGAAGATTGATTATAAAGTCTTTGCGATTAAGGGAGTGTGGTATTGGTGTGTGGATAGACCAAGAGATGAGTGCAAAGGAGTCAAGCATCCTGTAAACAGTTATGGAAACAACATATGACAGTGGGGGTATTTTAGGTCACAGGGGAAGGTTATTGTCCCTGGTATTACTGGTAATCCTCTTAAAAAAAAAAAAAAGAAGAAAAAGAAAAAGGGAAAGTTATCTCTAACTCATGTAAAACAGGAAAATAAATTCTAGATGCACTATAGATGTAAACGTGAAACACAGGAAAACCACTAACAATTTTAAAAGACAATGCAACAATATTTTCTTGATCTCAGGATAGGGAAGAATTTCTTCATTTACAAAATGGGAAAATCATAAAGTAAAAGACTAATTCTAATTCATCAAAATAAAAATGTACGAGTAAGAGAGTGAAAGACAAGTCACAAACTGTAAAAAACAAAGGAGAAATGCTACTGAAATTTATTAAAAATCCTTACACTTCAGAAACAAACAACTGTAGAAACAACCCAGTAGAAAAATAGATGAAGTGCATCAAAATGCATTTCACATGGGAGAAAGCAGTAATGGCCAATACACTGTGAAAAAAATCGCTCACATTCATTAGTAATAAAGAAATGCAAATGACAACCGCAGTGAGATACCATTTCACACCCACCAGATTGACAATAGAAAATAGGGCGTAAACAACCGTGATAGCTCTCATTCAGTGCTGGTGGAATGTAAAGTGGAGCAAACCACTTCATAAAACAATTTGGCACTATCTGTAATGCTGAACATATGCATCCTCTGATGTATATGCCCAGCCTAGACTCTGGGGCCCGGAGAACTCCTCACATATGCACCAGAAGACACGTATGAGGTTGCTCCTCACAGTGTTTGTTATTATATCCCCAGACAGGAAAACCTCACTGTCCATCAATGGTAGAATGGATAAATAAGTTGTGACACAGACTTAAAGCAGAAGGCCATAAAGAACTGAAAGTGAAAAAGACCCATCTGCACACATTAACACGAAAGATTCTAATTTTGAATAAAAAGAATCGAATCCCAATAAAATACACAGACTATTAATCCATTTATATAAAATTCAAAAATAAACCAGTTTTATTGTAGAGAAATGCATTTACTATAAGTCACAAGGGAATGATTGTCCCTGAAGTAGGGACACTAGTCAGCCTGCAGCCGTGGACAGAAAGAAAGCGATCGGAAAAGGGCTCAAAGGAAGCATTGACAATAATGGCTGTGTTCTGGTTTATAACCTTGGCAGCAGGTACATACTTCTTTGCTACTCCTCTCTAATGTGTGCATAACGGCGTATGCACCACAGTCAAAATGTTGAGCAAAAGAATCAAGTCATAGATGAGAGGACATTAGCATGAGTCTATCATGATGTTTCAACCAAGGTAAAAGGACATAACACATCATTTAGAAATTCAGACACAGTTGGAAAATTATCAAGAAAGAAAGGCAGTGATCAATGCCAAACTCAGATGACTGGTTATGGATTGCCTTGGATCAAAGTAGAGAGACACAGGGACTTCCTGAGGTTCCAGTAATGTCTCATCTCTGGAGATGGATGGCAAGTACATGGCCATTAAAGAATTTTCTATGTTTTAGCGTATCTTCTTGCAGCTGTTTCACAATAAACTTGTGAAATAAACTTCAACATAAATAAATATTTAATTGAAAAATGAAGAGTTTTTTCTGAAAGTTCCCTTTGGACTAACCCTAGGCATATTTTACATGAATTTTAGAGACTCCTGAAAAAATAAGGCCAAGCCTGGGCTGTGTTAAGGGTGAGGTGACAGAAGGATGTGGGTAGCCTGGGAAATTGTACAAACTCGGCTACTCTCCTTCTTTCTGAGCATTCTAATCTCAGCTCCTTTCCCAGGACCTTCAGACCCGTGGACTGCTAGAAGCTTAAGGCTGGATGATGTTCACAAAGGCCTTCTTGTCAACAGGCTTCCTGCACCACCCTTTAACCAAACGATGGGGCAAAGTTTGGTTAAAGAGATGAAGAGCTAGCAGGCTACCTCAGAAAGGCTGCTGACCAAAGCTGGTACGGACCAGAGCCAGAAAACTACCCGGGATAAGAAGGCCTTTGCTTAAGAAACTACTCCCTCTCAATTCTTCCCATGTGCATGTAGTACAGATTACATAAGGCAGTTGTATGGTAATATAGAAATTATTGAAAACATTCTTCTTGAGGTTTGACAATGCAGCAGTAGATATGTATCTACTACATAGTTGTTAGTCAAAAAAGTATGTTTCATATAATCAATTGGTATTCATTTAAAACACAATAATGGTCTTATTAAAGTTAAATTTAATACATGCTGTATTTGGAAGTAATTTCTTTACCATCACATAGAAACCTTTCCAGCTGTCCTTTTTTGTTGCATTGTTGACATTCAGTGGCAAATTAGAAGAATCTCGTGATGAAAATGCCCTACGGCTAGACATGTGTGGTTATTTTCAATTCAAACTCAATATTGATGGTCTCTCTTCTGTATCTCCCATTTTCCCAAATAGATGAGTAAATTATAAGTAGAAACCAGTTTATCTTCAAAAATTCAAAGGGTAGGCTAGGTACTGCCAAATGTGAAGAACAGGATTCTTAGCAAGTACATGTAAACAAATAAGTAGTCTTGATTTCCCACAATTTCTCATCAGCTACCATAAAAAAATTGTTTCTTACTTCTTTTTTAAATTATTTACCTCTAATTTTTCTATCTTTCAAATTTTGAGTTTCCTCTGCAGAAGAATTTCTTACTAGTAACATTAAATGAAGCAGAAAAAAAAAGCTATTACAGGAGAGAGAAGGATCACCTGAGTTGGAGCACAGGGAAAAAACCCCATCTTCATTTCCACTAAAAATGGAATATTTAATGCTGTCTTGTGTTGGGTCAGGAGCAACAGCTTTTACAGTCACAACAGAAGTACCTGTAAAAATTAGGTAAAAAAAAAAAAAAAAGAAAGAAAGAAAGAACTTTAGGAAAAGAAAATTTCAGGGAAAAACAAGAGCAAACACTGGGTATTTATTATTTGCTTACTACATTTTCATTTGTTCATTCATTCAGTGATTAGTCATTGAGTGTCTTCAATAAGCCAGATCTCAGGCTAGGTGCTGGAGACAGAGTGACAAGTTAGGAAAGATCTCTATCTTACGGTGATCATTAACTAGAGTAAGGAGACAGACAACCATTAAACAGATACATAATCAAAGTAGATTTCAGATGTGCTAAGTTCCCTGGAAGAAAAAAAAACAATGCAATGTGATAGAAAACACTTTTTTACGTGTGTGTCGGTGGGGAGGGCAGACATATAACATTTCAAGTTATAGGAACAAACTGATTCCCATCATGAGAGAAGAATTGCAAGCACTGATAGAGGTAATGAGACAATTGGTGTGATTAGAACTGGAATTTCACTGGAAGGTTCTCAAAAATCCATTCTGGCCTCAAGTTAGCACTCTGTTGTCTTCATGTGTAATATCTCATGCCCTTGCTGTTCACCTCTGTTTTACTTCCTATCCTGGTTGCCCATTTGTCCTCCTCCTTTAACTGCCTGTCCTTTTAAATTATTTTTTTATTTAATCAACTTTATTAAGGTAACATTTACATACAATAATATACACATATTTTAAGTATACAGTTATATATATACATATATACATACATATGTATACAGCATATATGTATGTATATATACAATTATATATGTATATAGTTTTAACAACTATATACACCTGTGTAATCACCATCAGAACCAAGATGTAGAATATTTCCATCACTCCAAAAAATTCTCTCTTGACCTTTTGCAGTCAGTTTTCTCTTACTTCTGGTCCCGGGCAATCACTGATTTACTTTCTGTTACTTTGTTTTGCCTCTAAAATTTTATACACATAAAAATTATACAGTATCTCTCTTCTTTTGATCAGCATAATCTTTTAGGAATCAAGCATGTTATTCTGTGTATTAAGAGCTCATTATGGGGCGCCTGGGTGGCTCAGGTGGTTAAGCGACTGCCTTCAGCTCAGGTCATGATCCCAGGGTTCTGGGATCGAGTCCCGCATCGGGCTCCCTGCTCTGCGGGGAGCCTGCTTCTCCCTCTC